TCGGTATGCAATATGCAAGGCGTGTTTAATGCTGCTATTATACCAAGAGAAATGCTTTAAAACATGTATTTTCAGCAATTTACTTGTCAAGGTATATTGTACCATGCTGACATAATATAGAATTGTTTGTAATCAGAAACTTTGAAGTCCTCAAAAAAAAAGGGAAAAAAAATTATATACATTTTCCCTTATTATAAAAAAATAATCACACCAGGAATTTTCGAGATGGGTGTAAAATCTTAAATGTGTGTAATTCAAAACGGATTTAATGTGAGGTCCCACGCAAGTTATCCCAAACGTTTGTTAGCTCGATCTGCCATGGTACTCAGCTAGCCTGTAGATTGGCTGAGGGTCATGGGAAATTGAGTTTACAAACATGTAAGGCACTAATATTAGTTGTCAGTCTTGGTATGTCATCCTGTCCAATTACAGGCTGCTCTGAAATATACACTGCAGGTTAATGATGCCTTAGAAAAAGCATTTCACCAACATATCGCCCAACCACCCCGATGTCAGCGGGACAGTCCCAATTTTTTCATGAAACTTTGCTTCATCATTCCCTGGAGTGTCTGGACCTTTTTTGCATAGTTCCAATTTTTTTGTCCTGTCACGCCATTCCCCCTTAGTTCACTGGTGTCTTGTTTTTGGGGACACCAGGGAACAGCCCACAACATTCATAGCACGGGAGCATCACAAGACGCACTCACGCTATGACTGGGGCACTAGGAAACGAAAATCGTGCTCCCTACAGGGTCTGCCCTCAGTGGGCTGGCCTGCATGATGGGCCGGCAGCCTGGCATGTATTCACACAAGGCAGACCTGCTATTATTTCAGGCGTACCCCTTAACTCCCTCCCACCGGAATCTCAGGACTCTCTCTAGATTAAAACACCAGTCCCTGAAACCGCCAACCGATACTGATTCAATACTAATCCAACCAAACAGAGTACAGCCCACTCAAAGCAATGTCTCTGGCCATATTAAACAGCCTTTTTCACGAGGAGTAACTGAGATGCTCAGATTTAAAAAGGGAGTTTATTAGCTATGGGCTGCTTTTGTCATTTAAATAATCCAGAGTGAATAAAATGGTGCATTCTCTAAGAATCGCTTTTGTATTCTTAATTTAAAAAGGGGGTTTATTTACTAAAGGTTGTTTATTTTTTGTAATCTCAGCCAATCCTTATTGGGGAAAAGGCAGTTTTAGTCTAGCAATCCATGAGTAATCCTTCATTTAAAACATTTTTAATCTGACATTCCAAAATTTGTGTTATCAGATTAAAAAGGTTTTTTTGCAAATAATTGCTTTTGGATTTTATTTATACATCAAAGTTATCATTGATGAATTTAATCCATTCGCTGCTGAAAATCTAAATTTATGTTTATAAAATTTTAATAACAGATCACTCAGAAAAGTTTGATTTTTAATTCGTATATTTAAAGAACTTTTGGTTTTCAATTAGAACATTAAAAATGCCCTTTTCATAAAAGTTAGCTTTTTTCCCCATTCATATATTAACACTTTGAATGATGTAGACCTATAGGTAGGGTTACCATATCCACAATGTTTTCAGGGATACATAGCACGTTTAAAACACATATTGATGGGTAGCACATGAAAAGGGTTGAACGCATATAAGATTAAATAAATAGGCAACGAAAAATCCTGCATAATATGCATTATACATCCTGCAGGGCAACCCTTTTAATGCATGGTGGATATGGTAACCCTACCTATAGGTCCATGCTGAAACGCTCTCTGCATGGTCTGATCATACGCTAGCGCTGTGCTGGGGAAGACAGCTGTCGCTGTGAGTCTGCAGTAAATGCAGGTTAACCTCAGCTTTCACAAATGCAACTCTCTTGAGTTTAACCCCATAAGGACCAAACTTCTGGAATAAAAGGGAATCATGACATGTCACACTCCATGTGTCCTTAAAGGGTTAAGCATCACATAAGGAACATGTGAGATGTAAACACCCCCCCACCACCACCTTTTTTTGCTTTATCTATGCCTACTTGAAACATGTTTATTAGCCAAGAATAGCATGTTTTTACATGTCATTTAAAAGGGCTTATTCACTAAACAGGTTGAAGAGTCAGGCAGGATCAATAGAAGTTGACTCATTTTTGAGAACATTGTTGGGGGGGTGGGGGAGGGTTGTGAGGTCATTGTACAGGTGACTTTCCTATTGAATCGGAGATGTAAACACAGAATTAATAACTGCGCCATTCTCCTCACCACGCCTACACGTTTCCCGCTTTACGGAATTACAATGCTGATGAAGGGTGTGCTCCTGGCACCATAACCACTGCAGTGGGCGGTACTGGTTATCATGCTCGGAAGGTTCCTTTAGATTTGTCCAATATTTGCTGATAAATAAAATCACAGATTTAAAAAAAAAAAAAAAAGTAAAAATTCAATTCAGTGTTTCCAGCAAAATTAAAAAAAATAAATAATAAATCCGTCAAACCGGGTTGGATGACAGTAATTAATTTAGCACACGCACGCACGCGATATACACTGGGGCTGGATTTTATCAGCGAACGTCACGCTGGCGGCAAAAATCCACATTAAAAAAAAAAAATTATATATTTATTAATATTTATATTTGGGATAAAAAATAAATCGATGACATTCTGCCTCTGCACGCCAGCAGATATGCTTAGAATGAAGGGAAATAAAAACTTTGGGGGTTTCCCTAAACAAAGTTCTCGTTCTGTGATTATTGCATGCTAGGGACTGCCCACAAATCCCCAGGCCGCCTGGCACTTCACATCTCAGGGTGCAGTACCGGTAACCAGCCATTAGGGGGCGCTGCACGCTTCCCATCACCGCGCGCTGCACTGGCCTGCAACACCTGTCGCGGCTCCAGGCGACGGACAGCGAGCAGACCCGCCCTCTCCTCCCACTGGACAGCTCCCCAGGACGCGGCAAACAGAGCCTCGATTCTGATTGGCCGGCTCGGCTGTCCGTCATCCCTGTGACAACCGTGGGGTCATTTAAGTTTACAGGCTGGAAATAAATAAATAAGTCCGGCTCGAAATTAGAAATGCGTAGCGCGTCACTCACAACAACGTCTGGGTCAGCCTAACCTGCTGACACTCCTCTGTGACTGACAAGTCTGACAACCAATCGGCTTTGGCATTTGTGTTTAGGAAGCTCTACGTTAGCCCGACTTGTAAGGGGCGGGGTTATGTTTGGTGACATCACGGGTAAGCCATACGCACATACAGTAAAAAGCGTAGGCCAGTGGCGACGTCGGAGACCCCAACCAATCGCAATGCGACTCCTACTCCCGCGCCATCGTGGTGAGTGACGCGTCTGCCAACCAATGAGGTTGCCGCATTCTCGGAGCTGGAGGGGAACAGGCCAATCGCATGGCGATTTAACGACAATAGAGGCGTGGCCTAGCATAGGCGCGTTCGATTTGTTTTGAGGCGTGGCAACCAGCGCGTGCTGAGGGCTGTCACTGTGTGATTGACGTGCGGCTCGGCGAATGGGTGACAGGCAGAGGGGAGTTCCAGCCAATGGAAAGAGGGAGTGGGTGGAGTGAGAGGATGGTGGCCCTTGTGACAGTTGTGAGAGGAATCATGGAGCAGGTATTGTGCTGGGAGGAGGAGGAGGAGGACATGGCGGCAATGACGGCCAGGTAATGATAATTCTTATTATTATCTCAGTAATGGCTGCCAGGCGGGAGGCTGTGAGGGAGCCATTCCTCCTCCTATTCAGTCAGCCCCGCCCCCAAACTGCTGGCCCCGCCCCCATACTGCTGGCCCCGCCCCCTGTGTCCCTACATGACTCCCTGTCCTAACCATGGGGATTAACCCCTTACTGCCCACAGCACTGCCAGGATTAACCCCTTACTGCCCACAGCACAGCCAGGATTAACCCCTTACTGCCCACAGCACAGCCAGGATTAACCCCTTACTGCCCCAGTTGGAGGATTAACCCTTTACTGCCCACAGCACAGCCAGGATTAACCCCTTACTGCCCCCAACCATGGAGATAAACCCCTTACTGCCCACAGCCAGGATTAACCCCTTACTGCCCCAACCATGGGGATTAACCCCTTACTGCCCACAGGACAGCCAGGATTAACCCCTTACTGCCCCCCAACCATGGATATTAACCCCTTACTGCCCCAACCATGGGGATTAACCCCTTACTGCCCACAGGACAGCCAGGATTAACCCCTTACTGCCCCCACCCATGGGGATTAACCCCTTACTGCCCACAGCCAGGATTAACCCTTACTGCCCCAACCATGGATATTAACCCCTTACTGCCCCAACCATGGGGATAACCCCTTACTGCCCACAGGACAGCCAGGATTAACCCCCACTGCCCCTATGGGGATTAACCACTGCCCCCAACCATGGGGATTAACCCCTTACTGCCCACAGCACAGCCAGGATTAACCCCTTACTGCCCCCACCACGGGGATTAACCCCTTACTGCCCACAGCACAGCCAGGATTAACCCCCTACTGCCCCCAACCATGGAGATTAACCCCTTACTGCCCACAGCACTGCCAGGAATAACCCCTTACTGCCCCCAGCACAGCCAGGATTAACCCCTTACTGTCTGCAACCATGGAGATTAACCCCTTACTGCCCACAGCACAGCCAGGATTAACCCTTTACTGCCCCCAACCATGGAGATTAACCCCTTACTGCCCCTAGCACAACCAGGATTAACCCCTTACTGCCCCAACCATGGAGATTAACCCCTTACTGCCCACAGCACAGCCAGGATTAACCCTTTGCTGCCACCAACCATGGAGATTAACACTTTACTGCCCGCAGCACATCCAGGATTAACCCCTTACTGCCCCCCCATGGAGATTAACCCCTTACTGCCCCAACCATGGATATTAACCCCTTACTGCCCGCAGCACAGCCAGGATTAACCCCTTACTGCCCCAACCATGGAGATTAACCCATTACTGCCCACAGCACAGCCAGGATTAACCCCTTACTTCCCCCAACCATGGAGATTAACCTCTTACTGCCAGCAGCATGGCCAGGATTAACCCCTTACTGCCCCAACCATGGAGATTAACCCCTTACTGCCAGCAGCACAGCCAGGATTAACCCCTTACTGCCTCCAATCATGGAGATTAACCCCTTACTGCCCACAGCACAGCCAGGATTGACCCCTTACTGCTCCCAACCATTGAAATTAACCTCTTACTGCCCACAGCACAGCCAGGATTAACCCCTTACTGCCCCAGCACAGCCAGGATTAACCCCTTACTGCCCCCATCCTTGGAGATTAACCCCTCACGGCCCAAGCACAGCCAAGATTAACCCCTCACTGCTCAAGGCACTGCCAGGATTAACTCCTCACTGGCCCAGGACAGCTAGGATTAACCCCTCAATGCTCCCAGCACAGCCAGGATTAACCCCTCACTGCCCCAGCACAGCCAGAATTAACCCCTCTATTGGAACCAGTGTCCTTACTGGTACCAATAGACAATAGAAGTATTTGAAAAAGAGTATATGAATTGAAATTTGAATTTGAAAAGTTTAAGACTGAAGGGTAATCTGAGGAAATTCTTTAAAAGAAAAAGAGTAGTAGATACCTGGAACAGATACAGTGTAGATAGATCTGCTTGGGACATGTGTAAATCTATTATGGTGACTAAAATCTCTGTCAAGGTTTTAAAGCACACTACACAGATAGAAAGAAATACACTTATTTCAGTTGTTCTAGTGTTCCATAGTCTGTCTAGATTTTGAGTCCCTTGTCCCGCTACCTCTAATCAGCTCTACTCTACCCCTGGAAAATCCTCACTTATAGAGAAGCACTGGATTTCTGCAGTGCATGCGCAGTAATCTCCACTCCGCCAATAGATTGGTTATTATTGAAACATTGAGTGCCATGATCATCTATCAGAAGCGTTGCCTTCCACTTTGAGTGAGATCCCATTTCGACAGCCAGGAAGGTGCAAACTAGGAGGAGTGTTAACTAAATGCTGATTTCTTTTGAAATCTGCACTTTTATAAATTAAGAAAGAAGGAAACCCTGTTAACCCCTAAAGTAGCTCACCAACCTAAAGTATATTAGGAATTTGGAATATTGCTTTAATAGGAACACTAGATGGGCAAACTGCAACCTATATGCTGTAGCAATCTATTTTTATTTCATTGTTGCTTAAAAAGACTGAAAATGGGGCAAATCTTCCATGCATGTTTGTTAAACATTCTAGCAATTATCATTGGTATAAATTACCTGTGAAGGATTACAGCAAGGGAATTGTGAGTATTAACAGCAGCACTATATATGAAGGATACAGACAGTCACAAGAATTAGCTGAATGGGGAAGATTGATCTAAGAAACTGTGATCTTGGTATGATTTTTGGTGTCATGACATGCGCATGGTTGTCCTTTTCGCATATGTCATAAAAGAATAACCGTAATCCCTCCCCCTCCCACCCCCCTCTCAAAAAAAAGACACAGACACCAGATTTAAAGTGGATAAAATATCACGGCTTTAATAAAATACATGTAATTAAATATATTAATAATAATTTGGATCATTGCCAAACATGCCCAATTTTAACTCAGACACACAATTCACCCCAACTTTTAACAGTACTATACCCACTGACAATGACCCATAACATTAGTTAACAACCTACCAATTAACACATTCAACCATGTGAATATTGTTACCAAACTTCCAAACATCACATCTACCAATCCTACCTACCCCCCAATTTCTTATCCAGCCCCCGCCACCGTGATCAAACCGAATAAAAGAAGAAAATACCATACTCCAATAAATAAGCAAGGGAGGGTAGGACAACAACAGGTAAGTATGGCTAATTAAAATGGCCCCTAATCTTAAATGTCCGCTAATAATATCTTATTTCAAATTAAACCCACAACCACTTAACCAATAAACGCCCACCACTTCCTAGCTCTGTCAAGGCCCGTTACCTTAGCTTTGCTGGTCCCTGGGCTACAGATGTGGTGGTTTCACGATCTCAAAAATGACTCACCTAGATTTTTGGGCTACAGTCTCTTGTATTAAAAACGAGAAAGATGCAGTAAAAACATCTATTGAGCGGGATTTTTGTTTTAAGAGATTGGCTCAATGTGAATATGGGCTGTTAGTCTGAAGGAGTTTGCGTATAGAACAGGTATAACCACACTTTATCAAAGTGCTACGCAGAAAGGCATCTCTAAAGCACACAACTCATCAGGCATTGAAGTGAATGGCCAATAGCGTAAGAAAGCCACATGGGTTCAACGTCCGTCACCAAAGAGGAGAAGGAAAACGTTACAGTGGGCATTTAGTAAACACATATATATATATATATATATGTAAAAAGTTTGAAAAGTTAACCAAATAACTTCTGAAAGCATACATACAAGTCTCCACAAGAGTCCACAGGACATCCGCTCCAAAGAATCACAAATTATGTAAAAACCAGAGCTGTCCACACAAGGTTTCATCTGAAATGTTTTTGAGGTGCCCAAGCAATCAATGGGTTTTTTTTTTCGTTTTGTTTTTTAATCTAAGGGAATTTAACAGAGCATGACATTGTTAAAGCTTGATGATAGAAATTGGAAGCATGTAATCATCTGAAGATGGATCCACAAACAGGACAGCAAGTTCAGTTTGCCCCCATGCTTTACACAATCCGCACATGTCAACCCAGGCGCGGATATTGGACATGGGATAAAGCGGGACACTTGCAGCTTGAATGAATGGTTGTTAAAACCTGCTAGATTCTGTGAAGTCAGTTATATTTCCGTTTACAGTTATCGTTTTCTAGATAAAGTCTAGACTAAAATGCAATTAATCTATTTCTGGTTATCAAAATGTGTTGAAGGAGTGCTCTAAGGTTGATACTGCCACCATGTTGTTTTTTTACGATAAATTCAAATAATACCATTTTAATACTGTTTTATTTCCCATCTGTTTTCTGTAGTTCCCAGCTATATATTCATATTTTCTTAATTTCCTTCAAGCGCTTTTATATTCCAGTTCCCAAGTGATGTAAGAATGGCTGTCTCGTGCTCCTATGGTGCTTGTTATTGGCTTGGGGTAAATGCCAGCGTTTTGACTTATGCCTTCTTTGATGCCCATGCTATCACTTATGAAAGGAAGTCACCAGCATTGCTTATTTTTGGAAGCCTCCTGTTGCCTTGGGCACAAGCACGCTCTGATGTTATTGTGTGGTGATCAAAGATGGCAGCTGCTAATCATCAAATGAAACTGTTTTCAATATCCTTTGTGAGACATTGGCATATGTGAACAAACAGAGGGGGAGCTATATATATAAATTGTGATGATTATTATAAAACAAATGTGCCACCCAGTCAATACGTTGACAACAGGACAGCAACAGACGAACTTTGACCCCTTATTCATCCTAAATAGGTGGTCGCAAAGCAGCTTTTTGTTTTATTTTCTTCAAAAAAAGTTTAACAGATACATTCATAGTATTGTCAGTGTGCATGTATTAGTATGAGCGAAGGTATCTGTATCTGTGTGAAGTAAATGTTCTGTAAAATTGTCAAGGTTTGTTGTCTTTGTTTTGTTTTTCATTTTTAGAGATCTCCAGCCTAAAGTGACATTCCGTTTCTTACTTTCCTTGTTTATCTGCAGCTATTACACGTGTCGGTGTTTTGTAGATCTTTGGTGTTTTCTAAAGGTGCTCAGTTTTGTTAATATATGTTCGGAAACAAATTGCGTCATATCTGTGTCCTCTGTGTCAGAGACATGATTTTGCATCAACTCCCCAATGTTTCGAGTACCCTTCAGGTGTCTGAAACACAATGCAGGTTTGGCATGTGGGAGGTTAACAGCCGTTCTTGGCGACATTTTTAGCGCATCTGTGGCAGAGCGATCACTTTGCAGTTTTGCAGGGTATCGTGTGTCTTACTTCTTGTGGTATTTTGAAACAAAGTTTTCTCTTCAAATTCCTTTCCCCTTTTATTGTTAAAGCAAAGTGGAATTAGAACATTCAGACCCAGATTGTGCCAGTGCTTTCATATGGATGGATTTTTTTGTTGTTGGAAGAGGGGGTGGCCAGAGGGTACAACCCCAGCTTTATTCCAATTGCAACTCCCATGATGCTCAGTGTTGGCAAAGATCAGGGTAGCTGTTCCCCAGAAGCCGGCAATCTCTTCGTATGTAAACAAGAGCTTAATATGTTTTTTTTCCACAACCGCCTAACTCCTATTAAACATATTACTCCCTCTCTCTTTGAAGTTTTCTTTCTCTTTCTTCCTAGTTTTTCATTTTAAGAGCAAATCTCCATTCTTGTGATATTCTTCACCATAGAGGGAAAGTTTTAAGTAACTATATATAGACTAAAAATAACTATTATCAGCTGAGAAGTTATTTTTCTTATATGTATTTAATGTCGATTTAATCGAGCAAGAATGTAATGGAGGATCAGTTAATTTATAGTTGAAATATACATCAGTTAATGAGTAATTTGCTGCTTAACCTTTCTAGAACACAGTGTACGCATATTATCCCCACCACCCCCACCCCACCAGCTTCCCCTCTGCTACTGTATCCTCGTACTAAGCTGTTTCCTCCTGTTACAAGCCACTTTTATGTATAAGTTTAATAATAGTTCCTATAAATCTTTCGCTACAACAATAGGTTCGGCAAACCCCAAGGAACTGGTAAACCTGTTTTTTGCATTTTAGTTGCTTTATTTAACAGGGATTATCCACTAACTACTGAATTCTGGCAAATTGCCCGCCAGAAAAAAGAAATTTAGTCTAAAAAAGTTTGAAAAGTCTCTTTTGATTTGCCATGATTTTTGCACTTATTTTATTCCCCTCAATGGCCGATATCTAATATTGTAAATGTATTTGCTTCCGAAAGCCCTAGTTCAAATGGTGAAGTCGAACATTGTACACCGGGCGTAGGAAACGACTCAAATTTCTGATTCAGTACAGGCAGTCATGCTTCAAAAGAAATGTTTCTGTGTGTTGATACATAGGCCAAAATATAGTCTGAAAGCTTTCTAGGAGAGACAATGGATTCTATTCATCAAACGACCTTATTTATCTCACATGAGATATAAGACCTCTTACTGCATGTCATTTTGTGAAGCTTGTGTATGCGAAGGCCTAACATATTTTGCTGTTTGGTGAGTACAGAGCTGTCGTAAATTAATTAATTCAAACAGTAAATGTAATTGGTATGTACAAACTGTACAGATTTGCTAAAGAATGCGATAGAATGAATAGTTTTTCTTTTAAATCAAAATAAGAAATGGTTCCCCACACCGGTCAATCAATTCTTATGCCAATGACACTGAGTCTATGTAGATAATCGATAGAGAGGTGAGATGCAGGGGATCCTCCTGCAGATAGATTTTCCGATCTCTATCACAGCAACTACAGCGCTTGCGTAGAAATACTCTGTATGTTGTCATGAAACAGTATTTGACCCCCTTCCTGTTTTTGCATATTTGTCACACTCACTTCTTTTCAAATTTTAATCATTTAAGGAAAAAAATTTGTATTTCAGATTCATTGCCTACATTCTGCCATTTGAATATCAGTTTTCTACAATTCGGCGTTTAGTGAATAAATCCACTGGTCTGGATATTTATGAACGTACAGAAATGGAGGATTGTTTCTGTAGTACCATGAGAAATATTGAGATGGCAAAGCTGTCAAAGCAGGCTGCGTTGGATAACAAACTGTCTTATCAGACGTGTTTGATAATATGTATAGTAATTATTTTCTGAACTAGTATATAAATGGTTTATATCTAAAGGAGCTGTCAAGGTACAGACATAGCAAAAAGGATTCTAGAAAAAAATATTTGAGGGTTTTAGCACCCTTGCTTTTGTTAAATGACATGCACATACCCACCCAAACCCATTCAGAGAAAAATTGGATTCTGTTGTAAATATTGAGGAGACCCAAAATTGGCCTCAGCCATTGCCTGATATATGGGTATTGCTCCAAACAAGGTTCCTTGAGAGGTGAGCTGTCATTATCTCAATGTGAAAAATCAGTGATATCTATACACCCGGTGTGTCCCTTTAACAAGTGAGTGCACTGAAGGATTTAAGAACATTGCCCAAAGGAAGTAATTAGGCCTGAGTGAAAAGCCAAATTTGCAAAACTCGGTCAAAATGGCTGCAATCTTTGCAAATCTGCATGCTGTATATTTACTAGAGGTACATTTAGTCAGAATTTGGTCAGGCCGACTAAATCAACAGAGATAATTCGGTTGCTTTGGGTGTCTGCTTTAAAATAAGCAATTTTCCCTTGTCAATGCCATATAAAAAAAACTATTCACATATCAAACACTACATTTTTTTTTAACGACATTTGCTCAAAACAAATCCAGAAGCAGGCTGATTCACCAATTTTTTTTTTCCAATTTTTCCAGTTGCAAGTAAGCAGATGGTTAAAACATTTGTTTAAAAATATTAGTTTTACAAATGAAGTAATAGAAAGTTATACTAGTTATAAGATAATGTGTTAATTTAAATAAATTGATTTAGATACATTATGTAAATTAATACAGGTTTATAAAATGTTATAAAGGTATATTGTACCCCTTTATAGAGAGATCCTTTTCTCCCCAGTATTTAGCTGGGCTGTAGTCAGGGTGGGGAGCGGCGCCAAGCAGAACCCAGGTGAGAAATCAAACTGTTCTAAAACGGTTTGACTATTTACAATGTGGGGTTCATAGAGCACTCCTGGCACCATAATCACTGCAGATGGCTGTGATGTTTATAGTGTATGGTGTGTTCCTTTAAGATGCTGTCAGATCATTAAAAAATGAACACCATACATAGTGGTACAATGTCCTGATAAGCTAACAGAAAGTTGAACTACTTTTGATACAACTTCTTCTACTGTCAAATATTGGAGAGATTCTTGAATTATTTCCCTTAAAATAAAAGGCATTTAAAACCTTTTTTTCCTTTTATATAAATTGCTTTTATGTCACAGGATTTTCCCAAGGCTGTATATCACATACATTGCTTTTAACTCACTAGAATTTGCAGGCCAAGTTGACCCTTCAACTGGATTCACTTAATTCCAGCAGTTTGATGCTTCAGCAGAAAATCAGAAAATCAGATGCGGATTTATGATTAACATTGTTCACAATCAGTTTAAAAAATTACTTCTGTTCACCTGCACAATTTATCAACATTTTACAAGAAATGACTTAATTAAAAGCAAATGTGTTAAATAAAAGCCACAAATCACATCTGTTGTAAAAAGATTATTTTAAAAGAATTCAAATAATGTTTAGGTCACACTGACATGATTCAAGGATACCATCTGGTACTCCCACATTAATGTAAGCAAGGTTTGAAGTTCTACGCTGCTCTCCCTAAAAGTTATTCACCATTGCAAGTCCATGTCACACTCTCCCCGGTGGCTTTCTAGTCGTCACGGCTACATTTTCTCTTGCCAATGGCTAGTTAAGGCCCTCAGATGATGCATATTTAACCACCCCATTTACTAGCAGTCACATGCTCTGCCTGACACCCCTCAATCTTAGACCTGCTAAACTTGGTATTGCTCTATATAATAGTAAAACAAATAAATTTGTAGGTTCTAAAGAAAATTACTCACAGGCAGGTTTATTCACTAAGCTAAAAATTCATCAAGGAGTTTTTTTTCCCACTAAAATAGCTAAATGGAAACATTTTAAGATGACAATCCATTGGTCAGTAAAAACAAAATGTTGTTAAGTACATATACCCCTAAGTAAAACATGCATGCATTTAATTATGCATTTTGTCATTGGGTTATATCTAAAAACAGCTTGTAAAAGCTGCAGATCTCTTGTCTGCAGCCTTTGCAAGCCCTTACCTTCTAACCCCACCCAGACTTGCTGTGGCTGTCCAATCACAGACTTCCCAATGCAGCTCAATGAGAAGTCTTTGCAAGGCACGTTCTGTGGGCATTTGCTGCCTTATGAGCCAATATCTATTTCACTTTTTGCAAAATGAAACAAAAAGGACACACTCTTCACATATAAAGCACAACAGCAGCTGAAGTGTTTTAGGTGTATGTCCCTTTAAGCTCGGTTATTTTTGCCTATAATTGCACTAGTAAATCCCCTCTTAATCTTAGTGTAGAGAACAACCTTACCTTTTGTTATTTTATGGTACCTTTTTTTTTATATATATATATATATATATAATTCTTTATTTTTGTTGTGCTTGAGAATACAGGAGCAACCTGTAAGGCCACAACGGCCACACAGGAGTAGAGTTTGACATTGATACTGGTTTTGAAATCATGCAAAACGTACTGACAATGACAAATTATAATAATACATGCTTGAGGATTGACATGTCTATGACATGAAGTGCACAGTCGTTATTTCACCCACATCCCTAAAAAACACAGACACCATATATTCTGTTGGAAATATAAAGTCCACAGCTTTATTTATTCATATATATATCATGAACAAGATTAACAAATTAGGGTCATTGTCACATAATGCTATTTTACTACAATCCCCCTCTGTACAACAATACCCCTGGCAATGACCCCATACCAATGAACAATTTATAACAGTATAAATAACACATAATATATAACACACGGCCTACCAAAGAGGCCCCATATCCAAATGTTTAAACTGTAGGGGTGTACCGAGACACCCCTACACCCCCAGGTTCGGAGCCACCAATGAGCTCGAACCTACCAACCACTTTAACACTCCGGCCTTATCCAGCCTAAACCTTGGCATGACCACTTGATACTCTACCTACATCCCATTTACCCAAGCCCAATCCCGCTGCTGTGACCAAACGGGAACTACCTCTAAACCACAGGGAGGGTGGGAGGGACAACTAACAGGTAAGTGAAGGCTTATGATTAAAATGGCCGCTCTATATCCCCTTAGTCTCCACTCCCATAACCAAATTACTACATTCCTGCCCACATTACTAAAATCCACCTGCCTACTCTTTGGCTCTGTCAAGACCCACTCTCCTAACTGCGTTGTTCCATGGGCTTCAGTAGAATGTGGCATCTTAAGCAGTTGTTACTAAAAACGTTGAAAACCACTGGGGCCCCAAATGCTAATACTTCAGTTACTTCCCCGACGGCGTGTTATGAAGCTGCTATCTAAGGCATGCATG